ACTGTTCTAAAGTAGGAGCCAAATTTCAGGTCCAAGAGACACTCGTGCCTGACTCCCTTCTGAAGAGAACCATGCAGAGTCACTTCAAACACGAGCAAGAACAACACAGGACCTATCACAGCCTGTCTGAGAGATCTCTTCGGACACACCACAGTCCTCAGAGAAAGCCTAGGAGTCCCTCTGACAGAACCCTTAGCAGCCTCTCAGTGAGGGGATGTCGCAGTCCCTCCCAGAGGAAGGATGGCAGTCCCTCTAGAAGAACCCCTCAGAGTATCTCTGACAGGAGCCCACCCAGGCTCTCTAAGGGGAGAGGTCGCAGTCCCTCAGGGAGGAGCCAACCCAGCCCTTCTGGGAGAAGGCCTCGCAGTTCCTCAGGGAGGAGCCCTCGTAGTAGTACCCCTAGTAGCCCTCGAGAGAGAAGGGGACGTAATCCCTCCCCCAAGGGTTGGCTTGGTCTTTATGGGAGGAACCAACACAGTCCCCCTTATCAGAGATGCTGCAGCCCCTCCAAAAGGAGCCATCTCAGTCCCATCCAGAGGACATGGGCCAGTCCTTCAGAATGGAGCCATAGTACTCTCTCTGAGAGACCCCCTTCCAGACGCTCTGGCAGGACAAGGCAAAGTTCTTCTGAAAGAGGCTACCGCAGTCCCTCTAGGTCCAGGCTCCACAGGCCTTCTTCCGGACTCCACCGCAGCCATTCTCAGAGAACTCACTACAGCCCCTCTGACAGCAGAAGCAGTCATTCTGAGAGGAGCCGACACTTAGAGAGGAACCAGCAAGGTCACCATGCGAGACCCCATCACAGCCCCAAGGGGAGGCTCCGGCACAGTTCCCCTAAGGAGAGACCCAGACATAGCTGGTCTAAAGAGTTCCTGCAAATCTTCACCTAGCTGCCCCTTCCTGCTCAGCCACTGCCTGCACCCTCAGCAATCAAAGAACTATCTAGGAGGGGAGTGAGAATGGGTCCGTAATTTATTTAAGATCAATAAAGGGGTAATAATTGAACTCTCTTTGCAGCCGTAATATCACTTGTGGGGTGGGTGGGACTGGATGTGCAAACGCCCGGAGCTGAAGGGTTGGGGTTCACAAGGACCCCTGAAATCTTCAGGCTTCGCCCACTTGCTCCAAGGAGGTTCTGATCCTCCTGCCTCCACCTCCCAAATGCTAAAATTATAGGCATGTGCTATAATGTCTGGCATATGTGGTGCCCGGGGATCAAAGCTGGGCGTCATGCGTGCTAGGCAAGCCCCAGCCCTCTAGAATTAAAATGGTCTTAAAAATTATTTTAGTTATTTGTGTGTATGTATTACGTGTGTGTGGATGCAGGCATGCCTGTGTTATGCTGTGCCTGTGGAGTTGATTCTGTCCATCTACTGTGGGTCCTGGGGACTGAACGCTCATCAGTAGTAGACTTCTGCAGCAAGACCTTTTAACCACTGAGACATCTTGCCGGTCCTATATTGATGGTTTTAAAAAATATTTATTTTATGTGTATGGGTATTTTGTCTGCATATATGTCTATGTTCCGTGTGTTCTGTACACCACATGCATGCCTGGTGTTCCCCAAGGCTAGAAGAGGGCATTGGATCCCATGGACTGGAGTTACAGAAGACTGTAAGTTTCTAGGTGGGTCCTGGGAATTGAATCCTGGACCTCTGGTAGAGCAAGCAGTGCTCTTAACTGATGAGCCATCTCTCTAGCCCCTTAGTTAAAAAAAAAAAAATAGGTCAAATGTCATGGCACAGGTTTTTAACCTAAGCACTGGGGAATCTGAGTAGATCACTGAGTTTGAGGTCAACCTGGTCTACACTGTGTGTCTCCACTGTGTGATGGGCAGATTTTGAAGGACATGGCTAACATCAGTAAGGCTAGGGAAAGAGGCTTTTGTACGACTGAGGTGGGAGACGCTGGCGGTCTGGACTGGTGGTCTTATGGCCAGGCAGATATCAGACTGGGAATACGTGTGAAGACTAAGACCTGGGCTGGGATGTAGCCCAGCTGGTAGAGCACTCTAGTGTTCGCTAAGCTCTGGGTTCATCTCCACCACTGAATAAACTGGCGAGGCAGTGCAAGCCTGCAATCTCAGCACTGAGAGGAAGTGGCAGGAGGATCAGAACTCCAAGGTCACCCTTGGCTATATATGAAATTTGAGGCCAGCCTGGGCTACACAAGACTTTGCTTAAAAACAAAATCTGAAAAAAACAAGACAAAAACAAAATTGGGGCTGGAAGGATGGTTTAGCAGTTAAGAGCATTTGTTGCTCTTGTAGAGGACCTGAGTTTGGTTCCCAGCACATACAAGGTGGCTCACAACCACCTGTAACTCCAGTTTCAGGGGATCTGATACCCTCTTCGGACCTCCATACATGGGTACCTATGTAAGCAAAACAGTCATATACGTAAAAATAAAATATACCTTAAAAGGTAAAAAGTAGACAGACAGAGAGGTAGATAAGTAGATAGATAGATAGACAGACAGACACACAGGCAGACGAGATAGAGTCCTGAGAACTTGCGGACAGCTTACATGGGGTAAAGGGAGGTGGGGTATATATGAAAAAGCTCAAGCTGCTTCCCAGAAACAGCTGACATTACTAAGCCCTTACATCTAAGCCTTTTGCAGATTTTCTTGTTCTTCACCACCAATACCATCGCCACTCTCCTTTATAATACTATGTGGTAAATACTGTCATCAGTGCCCCCATTTTATATGAAGAAAACCAAATCCCAGGGTTGGAAAGGGTGAATGACCTAAGTTTATACAAGATGAAAAGTTGAACCAATGTTTGAACTCAAGGAATTTGAGGTCGCAAATGTGTTCATTACCTCTGTGCCACACCCAGGAAAGACACAGAGGTATGTTAAAAAGACTTGGGCAGGCTGCAGAGATGGCTTAGTGGTTAAGAGTGTGTACTGCTCTTGCAGAGGACCTGAGTTCAATTCCCAGTATCTGCATATGAAGGCTCATAACCGCCTGAAGCTCTAGCTCCAGGGGATCCTACACCTCTGGCCTCTGCAGGGACCATCATTCATGTGGACATACCCACACATGGACCCTCACATAGACACATTGTGGCAGTGTGGATGGGACTGCCTCCCACTGGCTCAGATGTCTGAAGACTTGGTCCCCAGGAGGTGGAACTGTTTGGGAAGGATTGGGAAGTATGGCCTTGTTGGAGGAGGTTTGTCACTGCAGGTGAGGCTTTGCTGTTTCAAAAGTTTTCTGCCATCTCCAGTGCTGTCTGTTTGCTGGTTCCACGATGTGAGCTCTCAGCTGTCCAGGCCACTGTGCTCGCACTGCTCCTATCATGGAACTGTAAGGTCATTTTGTGCGGCTTTTATAGGCTGCCTTGGTCACGGTGTTTTGCCACAGTAATCGAAAAGTGACTAAAACACACCCAGTTCAAAGTAACTAAATTTTAAAAATGTAAAAACTTTAAATATATAATCAGTAATAATACAAACAAGAAACAACCACTTAAAGGAGAACCTTGCAAAGGAGAAGCTAAAACATTAGGACATACTCAGAGCTAGAGGGACAGCTCTGCAGTCAGGAGTGTGTACTGCTCTTGTAGAGACTGGAGTCTGGTTCCAGCACCTTTACCAAGGCGGCTCACAACCGCCTTGAACTCCAGCTCCAGGAGGTTCAAAATTCTCTTCTGACCTTGGCAGGCACTGGCACTCACATGCACAAACCCACACATCGACATTCTTATTCACAGAATTTAAAACTATTTTTATTTTTTTTTATTTTTTTTTTTATTTTTATTTTTTGGTTTTTCGAGACAGGGTTGATCTAGAGTAGGAAGGTGTTTGGAGTAAGTGCACCAGGAAGGGCTCATGTTGGGGTGTGTGGGAAGCAGTGCTCACACACAGGACAGAAGCAGCCCACAGGCCTCCTAGTGGCCAGCATTCAGTTCCACAGCTCTTACCTCTCAGCAGTGCGGAGCTGCCTTGCCTCCAGGGCCAATTTGCTCAAGGTTTTCCACGTTGCCTCTGTTTCTGGGGTCATCTCCAGGGTCTCCAAGAAGGCTGTTGCCCTGGAGAGGAAGGGAAGAAATCACAGGAGTGAAGCAGGATCTGGAGGAGCAGAGGAGAACCCTGGTGCTGCTGGGGCAGCAGGAGGGGGGGGGGGGGAAGAAAGGCCAGAAACACCGCCCTTTGTCTAGGCCCCTCCCATGACTCCAGGGCCCCATTGATCTGTGACAGTTTAATGGGTCACTGCAGGCATCTGCTAGGCCCACTCTGGCTCAGCACCACACTGGCTGTTAGCAGCTCTCACCGGGTGTAGTTGCCATCATCGATGACTGTTCCAAACTCAATCAGGCCCTCGTCCAGGGTGTAGACCACAGTCATCACCCCTTCGGTCACCATCACCTCTGTCTTCCCTCCACCTCGCTCCAGACCTACAACGTCACCCTGCACAGTATACAAAGAGTGGCATCCAGTTCTTCAGTAGGAAACAGACTTAGGGGTGTGTGTGCACGCACAGACTGTGGGTGCGTGTGTGACTGCACTTGTCCACGTGAGCAGGCCAGGAGACACGCTCGGGTGTCACTCCTCAGCTGCTTCCACCCTTTCTTTCTTCAACCAGGATCTCAGCTTGGCCCTGGAATTTACCAAGTAAGCTGGGTTGAGCCCTAGGGGTCTGCCTGTCTCTGCCTCTCCAGCTCTGGGATTTAAGTGTGCACTAACACGCTTCACTTTCTTGCTGTATGTTCTGGGGCTCAAACTCAGGCCCCTCTACTTGAACAGCAAGCACTTTACCAAATGAGTTATCTTCTCAACTCTTAGACTGATATTCTTTTTAAAGTATATGATTTTGTCAGGCAGTGGTAGTACACACCTTTAACCCCAGCACTCAGGAGGCAGAGGCAGGTGGATCTCTGTGAGTCTGAGGACAGCCTGGTCTACAGAGTGAGTTCGAGGACAGCCAGGGCTGCACAGAGAAACCCTGTAATATATATCTATATAATTACTTTTTCACGTTTATTTATTTAGCATGTGTGTGTCCATCCATGTGGGCTCTGAAGACTGAACTCAGGTCATCAGGCTTAGCAGCAAGCACCCTTATCCATGGAACCATTTCCCCAGGCCCCAGACTGAGATAGTCTTGGGGGTCCTCCAGTTAAATTACAACTTAAACCTGAACCCAGAACATACTTTTTCTTTTCCGGCACTGCTTAGTTCACGTGACAAAATCACTAAGAATGTTCCCCACCTCTATGCTACCCATCCCCCTTTAAAAAATAAAAAAAAAACAACCAAAACAAAACAAATGAGTAAAATGACATTTTTTAGCGGGGTGGTGGTGGCCAATGCCTTTAATCCCAGCACTTGGGAGGCAAAGGCAGTGAACTCTGTGAGTTCAAGGCCAGCCTGGGCTACTAGAGCTAGTTGAAGGACAGGCTCCAAAGCTACAGAGAAACCCTGTCTCAAAAAACCAAAAATAATAATAATAATAATAATAAATAAACAATAAAAAAGAGAAAAGACAGAAGGGCAAAGGCCAAAAGCTAAAATCTGAGCAGCAGGAAAGGGGGTGCTGCTCTGAAGGCAAATGCATGTATCCGACAATGAGCCTCAGGCCTTCAGCACGTGGATGGGCTGAGTCAGTCTCTGAGTAAACCCAGCCTAGCCCGTTCTGTAGCAAAGGGCACCAAAGCAAGCGGAGCACAGCCTTACCATGGATTCTGATTGCTACAGAAGCAAACAACCATCTCAGCAGGAAAACAAGTAGAGACTGCCTTCAGAGTAACATGTGGGTGTATGTGTGCAAGCACACACACATACAACACAACCAGTACGAAAGAATAAATTGTAATTGTAAACAATAATTTTAGGTCTTTAAGCATTTTAGATATTAAAAATGGCAGTTATAGATAATGCATTGTAATAAAATTAAATATTACATATTTGAAGATATAAAAATGACATGGAAAATTAACTAAGGAAAAACTGGAATGGCTGGGCATACTGGAAAAAGAAATAAAATTTTATGGAAGTGAAGCCTGAGACATTGAACATGGAGAAGTTCCTGGCCCAAATTTAACTCTGAAGCAAAACCCCAATTGTGGCATAAGCAGCAGACAAGGAAAAGAGTGAGCCAAGGAGCTGAAGGAGAGATCTGAAGATACTATCTGGAATGTTCATGGAGCAGAAGAAGGAGACACAGAAGAAGCTGAAAAGGCAAACAAGATGGAGCAAGAAACGTAGCATATGCTGAGTCAGAATTCCTGGGAGAATGGTAACAGCGTTCCGAGAGAGAGTGGCCGAGAAGTTCCCAAGACTGAGCATGATGTGTGTGTTCAGAACTACATGAAACCCAACATATGCTGCATGGGATATCATTTAAATTCATGTAAAAAGGCTGGAGTACAGCTCAGTACCAGAGAATTTACTTCTAATGTACAGGTTCAGTCGCTAGCCATCCACTGCAAAAACAACCCCCAAACCCTCTAACCCGATGGGTGGCCCGTGACTACAGTCCCTATCTCTCAAGAGGCAGGGCAGGAGGACAGCCTGGGCCCTGAAATCTGAGGCCAGAGGAAAAAAACTATGTACAAAAATTGTAGTCAAGTGTCAAAACATCCAAAAAAAAAAAAAAGTAGGTTTTAGGAGCAACCAAAGGGGCAAGAGTAGATAGCTCAGAGATTAAGAACACTGCTATGGCAGAGGGCCCAAGCTTGGTTCCCAGTACACATGGGCACTCACAGCAAGTGGCCAGTACCTCCAGCTCTGAGGAGTCTGATGCCCTCTTCTGGCCTCAGCAGGCATTGCACACATGTGCACAACACATGTTATCTATTGGGATAACATGTTACAAAAAGCTAAGAAAAGTTAGCTGTCAGTTTGAAGTTGGGTACTTAGTCCCAAAGGGTTTTTAGAACAAAAGCTGAACAAAGCTACTTTCAGATCATCAAAACCTGAGAGAGTATAATCTTCCACTAAAGAGACCCTCACCAAAGGGATTTCTAAGTGATATTCTCCAGGCAGAAAATTAATTCCTGAGGGGAGACCAAAACTGCAAGAAGAAAAAGTAGGAAGAAATATGGTAGTGGGGAAATCTAAGTTCTGTCCATATAATAGTGTCATAAATCACGTGTGGTGGCCCGTGTTTGTGATACCAGCACTCATGGAGGCCAGCCTGGGTTACAAGTTCCAGTTCCAGGTCATTCAGGGAGGAAGGAGAGGAGAGAAAGAATGAGACATTGAATATGAATGATGCCCATTTTGGGAGTTAAAAAAAAATCTTATAGCAAGGCATGGCGGCCCAGATCTTTAATCCCAGCACTCAAGTACTTAGGAGGTAAAGGCAGGGGAATGGGAGGGAGGAGAGGGAGTGGGAACTGGGATTGGCATGTAAAATGAAAAAAAGATTGTTTTCTCTCTTAAAAAATTAAATAAATAAATTTTTTTTAAAAAAATCCCTCAAAAAACAAAACCAAACCAAACCAAACAACAACAAAAAACCCCACACAAGAAAGAAAAACAAAAACCCATCAAAACTAAAGGAACCCTTTACTACTCCTGGAAGCGCAGTGGTAAATACTTGTGCAGTGTGCTTGAAGCCTGGGTTTGATTCCAGCACAGCAGCAGCAGCAACAACGAAGATTAGCACTAAGAACCAGAGAGAAGGTTCGACAGGTAGAGGCGCCTGTTGGCCTGCATTCACTCCTGGGACCCGCATGGTGGGAAGAGCAGACTCCCACAAGTTGTCCTCTGGCCTCCATAGATGCATACACACATACACAAAATAAATAAATGTAATTTAAAAATTTAAAGGTTAGAATGAAAATATTGTTCAACAAAGAAAAAAGAGAGGTAACCAAAGCCAAAGCCTTGCAAGGTCCTATATTATTTGTGGGGAGAGAGAAAGTTACATGGTGGCTAACTTGAGAGCCTTCAAGGGCTTGCATATGAGTGTGTGGTAAGTGTGTGGTGTATGTGTGTGTGTGGTGTGTGGTGTGTGTGTGTGGTGTGTGTGTGGTATGTATGTGGAGGATGTGTGTGTGTGTGGTATATGGTGTGTGGTGTGTGTGTGTGGTGTGTGTGTGGTGTGTGTGTGTGGTGTGTGTGTGTGTGGTGTGTGTGGAGGATGTGTGTGTGATGTATGTGTGGGATGTGTGGGGGTGTGTGTGTATGTGTGTGTGGTGTATTGTTGTATGGTGTGTGTGTGTGGTATGTGGTGTGTGTGTGTGTGGTATGTATGTGGAGGATGTGTGTGTGTGTGTGTGTGTGGTGTGTGGTGTTGCGATGGGACAGTAAAGAGTGTTTTATGTGTAATTTGAAAAAGGAGGGATTTTGAATGGCCAAGAACAAGGACAAGGATGATGGCATGGAACCATCCCTCCTACTGGGGTCTGTCTTCTAGACTGCAAAGAATGCCATATGGTGACTTTATATAGTCCCAGGGCCACTGGAATGTGGCCTCATCTCTAGGAATGCAACACAAGGTCAGGAAACGCAAGCAAGGATAATTCTGGAGGCCATGCCAGTATGGGGAGGGGGTAAAAGTTTGGCTTGCCAGTTTTATCATAGCGATTGTGGGTGGTGGGTTGAGAACACCGCACGGTCTCCACATACTTCTCCTTGGAGCGCTAATGAGTTAGAGCGACACACCTGGGCCTCCTGGCACCAACGTACCCTGATAGAGGACATGGTGACTCTCTCGGGTGCCTCAATGTTGTACCACACACACAAGCTGTTTCGGTTCTGGGCTACCAGCACATCGCTCCCGGGAACCCACTGCACGTAGGAGCAGAAGTTGAGGATCATTGTCTTGGAGCAGCTTTCAATATCATATAGATGCAACTGGAGAGGGAGACAGCACAATTAGGAGGCGTGCACTGATGACATTTGGTTCTGTCCCTTTCCCCCACAGTGAAATGATCCACCAGTCAGTTATGTGTTGAGTTGCCAGCCCTTGGAGTTTGTGCTAAGTTGGTATATCCTGACTGGTCAAGTATGAGATGACCAAACAACCACGATCTAATTCAAGGTATAGTCAGGTGAAGGTCAGACTAGAGAGTAACCCTGGGCCAGATTAGCAGGTAGGGCTACAAACAAACTAAGTGAGCTGACAGTCTGCAGTGAGGCTCTCACTGGAATGAAGCATCACAAGAAAAGCGAACCTCTTTGGAGATGCCACCCTGACAAGAGACTGCTCGAGTCAGTGTCCATGCCTTCAGCTAAGTGTGGCTGAAGCACACTGCGGCAGTGGGATGGGGCAAAGGGCAGCTGGACCTGAGGAGGGGAAGCAGCTTCACGAGGACGCAGCCTGTAAACGGTCTCTGTCAGGGTCCCTAGGTCAGGTTCTGACAGCGTATAGGCTATCCTTGGTCCACTTTGCTATGCTAATGGCATATGGAACCAAGAACTTATGTCCTGCATTGCCCCCATGTAGTAATAAGGGTGGCGGGGCTGCGTCCCCAGCACCCCGGCTGCCTGGCTAGCTTATGCCCGAAATAACAACACACAAACTGTATTCATTTAATCACTGCTTGGCCCATTTCTATCTAGCCACTTCTAGGCTAATTCTCACATATTAATTTAGCCCATTTCTAATCATCTGTATAGCGCCCCTAGGTGCACTTACTGGGAAGATTCTAGCCTATGTCCATCCTGGGTCGGAGCTTCATCACGTGCGTCTGCCTGGGAGCTGGGAGCATGGCGTCTCTCTGAGGCCTCTGCTCCCGAGAGGAGAGCTGGGAGTCTGAGCTCACTTCCTCTTCCTCCCAGCGTTCTGTTCTGTTTACTCCTCCCACCTATCTTCTAACCAATGAGGGCCAAGCAGTTTCTTTTTATTTAACCAATGACCTTCCTCCATCACCCCCACAATCCCTGGTAACAGCTTGTGGACCAGCCCAGGTCTAAAACCCTAGTAACCCCTCTCACACAAAGTTTCCGATCCCTGAAGAGAAGCTTGTGCCCAGTCTCATTAAGTTCCAGTCAATCCACACAGCTCTCGTGACTGATAGTACCAATAATGTAACCACCAATAAGATCCACTGCAAAGAAGACAGGGTAAGAAGAGCGAACCCCGCCATGTAGAGGGCTGCATTTGGTCTCTAGAATGCTGGCTTTATAATCATGTTGGGATTTAGGAACATTTTATCAGTCCAGTGGTATCAATGGGGACCACAAATGACCAATATTGCACGATTTTTCTAAGATGCTTAAAAAACTGGGTCTTGCCAAGTGTGGTGGCACACACCTTTAATCCCAACACACAGGAGGCAGAGGCTGATGGATCTCTGTGAGTTTGAGGCCAGCCTGGTTTACTGAGAGAGTTC